TTATCTGCGCCGTGGCACTTACCTGTTTAATAAATTAATGGTAGGTGGTTCTATTGCAAACATTTCAATCATTGATATGTCCATAATGTTTCCAATTGGTCCCTTTATGGAAGTAGATTCTTGTTTCTCTGTTATTATTGGATGCTCAGGAGTCTCTCGCATCAAAATTTTTCTATTTTTGATTTGCAATTGATACTTTAACTCCTCCTTATGTTTCCTCAATGAAATCAGTTCAGACAACCTGAGTTTTTTTCTATCAATCTTTCTATTTAATCTTTTTAACTCGTAATCTAAACTAGCTTCAGTATCTTCCTTATCATCTGTATCTTTTGCGTCTTCTGATTTTACATGACTTTTATCATCCTTTATTAATGGATTTCTTTCTAAAAGCATGCCATTTAATTCATTGTTTATAATGTTATGGTTATGTGGTATTTCCATTCCTGCGTTCTAGAAAAACGTAATATGTATTTATAAAATTTGAAAGTTCCAAACACATTATTAACTTATCAACGCAAATACATTTACTATATCTTTGCCACTTTTTGCTGTTTCCTTGTACTTTAAATCCTTATCACTGGTTTGCTCTGGCGACATAACCTCAATATTGATATTATCTATTGTCTTCGCTATGACATAAATGCTTTTTGGATACAGTAACACGTTTCCGTTTAATTTTTTATATATTGGTTTGCACTGTTCACACTTTGTTCCATTAGTTTTCCTTAGGAATATTATTTAAAAATAAACATGCCGAAAAATTAATTAATGGAACACTTACTAGGTTTTAAGCAAATACGTATAGCTATCGTATAGCTATATAAATACTGAAATTTCTATCATCGGTTTATTCTTTATGTAAGTTTTCAGTTGGCAACTAGAGATAACAGACACACACTTATTTAGGACTGAACTGATTCTACTGTCAGAAATCAGCTGACCATGTCCCGTTCTACTGTATGGAAAGTAATGAATACGGTTATTCCTGTGGATGTGATAATAATGGAAAACGTACGAACACCTTCAATTTTGGATTCTTGATGTAAGCATAGGAGAAATGTTATATCAGCTGACACAAGCATTGAGCAATTGCATTGAATTTTTTTTTATGCAATGTATTTCGCTATCAGATTGAATTTGTGTTGTTTATGTTTTTATGTTGGTTTACTTCGTGTGTATTTCATCACTTTTCTTGCGTTGTGTCTTTCACATACTTTACGTTCGTTACGTTTACGAACGAATTTGGCCTTAAGGCACATTTACTCTGTTTCGTTTAGGCGGTTAAGCTCATTATAGCCACTATAATGAGTTATAGTGTTATAATAAGTTATAAATTAACTTATTTTCAATAAATCACTTCATTTAAAGCGAAAAATGTCGAATACAACCCTTAAAAACAAATTTCCCAATAGGGAAATTACCAATATTTGAAATATGTTATGTGTTATATATGTAGAATGTAAACAAACAACAGCTGAGCTGTAAACAAAGGCAGTGAGGAAGTGAGTATTTAATAAAACCTTTCTTCTAATTAATTGCATATATATATAATTGATATATAAAATATATATAAATGATTTAATATATGGTATATATATGGTAGGCATATATTACTATACATATAGTAATTAAATAATTCGTCAACACTTCAAATATATCGAAAGTTTTATTTTAATTATATATAAATATATAATAAAACCACAGGGTATATATAATTTAAATCTTGTTGATTTTTCGCGCAAATTTGTAAGAAATTCATCAATGACATTTGTAAAACACGGAGAATTAACATATATCAATCCACCTTATAATACACTCATTTATACAGCTGATACAACCTTTAGAAACTTTACTTAATAATATATCGTACAAAAAAATTATATATCTAATTGATATATTAAATCATTTATATGTATTTTATATATCACTTATATATAGATGCAATTCATTAGAAGAAAGATTTTATTAAATACCTACGTCCTCAGTGCCTTTGCTTACATATATAATATATGACATATATTTAAAATATTGGAAATTTCCCTATTGGGAAATTTGTTTTTAAGGGTTGTATTCGACATTTTTCGCTTTAAATGAAGTGATTTATTGAAAATAAGTTAATTTATAACTTATTATAACACTATAACTCATTATAGTGGCTATAATGAGCTTAACCGCCTAAACGAAACAGAGTAAATGTGCCTTAAGGCCAAATTCGTTCGTAAACGTAACGAACGTAAAGTATGTGAAAGACACAACGCAAGAAAAGTGATGAAATACACATGAAGTAAACCAACATAAAAACATAAACAACACAAATTCAATCTGATAGCGAAATACATTGCATAAAAAAAAATTCAATGCAATTGCTCAATGCTTGTGTCAGCTGATATAACATTTCTCCTATGCTTACATCAAGAATCCAAAATTGAAGGTGTTCGTACGTTTTCCATTATTATCACATCCACAGGAATAACCGTATTCATTACTTTCCATACAGTAGAACGGGACATGGTCAGCTGATTTCTGACAGTAGAATCAGTTCAGTCCTAAATAAGTGTGTGTCTGTTATCTCTAGTTGCCAACTGAAAACTTACATAAAGAATAAACCGATGATAGAAATTTCAGTATTTATATAGCTATACGATAGCTATACGTATTTGCTTAAAACCTAGTAAGTGTTCCATTAATTAATTTTTCGGCATGTTTATTTTTAAATAATATTCCTAAGGAAAACTAATGGAACAAAGTGTGAACAGTGCAAACCAATATATAAAAAATTAAACGGAAACGTGTTACTGTATCCAAAAAGCATTTATGTCATAGCGAAGACAATAGATAATATCAATATTGAGGTTATGTCGCCAGAGCAAACCAGTGATAAGGATTTAAAGTACAAGGAAACAGCAAAAAGTGGCAAAGATATAGTAAATGTATTTGCGTTGATAAGTTAATAATGTGTTTGGAACTTTCAAATTTTATAAATACATATTACGTTTTTCTAGAACGCAGGAATGGAAATACCACATAACCATAACATTATAAACAATGAATTAAATGGCATGCTTTTAGAAAGAAATCCATTAATAAAGGATGATAAAAGTCATGTAAAATCAGAAGACGCAAAAGATACAGATGATAAGGAAGATACTGAAGCTAGTTTAGATTACGAGTTAAAAAGATTAAATAGAAAGATTGATAGAAAAAAACTCAGGTTGTCTGAACTGATTTCATTGAGGAAACATAAGGAGGAGTTAAAGTATCAATTGCAAATCAAAAATAGAAAAATTTTGATGCGAGAGACTCCTGAGCATCCAATAATAACAGAGAAACAAGAATCTACTTCCATAAAGGGACCAATTGGAAACATTATGGACATATCAATGATTGAAATGTTTGCAATAGAACCACCTACCATTAATTTATTAAACAGGTAAGTGCCACGGCGCAGATAATATTTAGTTAAATAATAATCTCTTTTTGAATTTAATTTTTATTTATTGAACGTATAATTAAATAACTAATAGTTTGGTGGAAAAAGTATATCCACTACCATGAGTTCCATAACAGTTTCGGGCATATTTATTATTAAGGAGTACAAAGTGAGATATTGTTTAAATCGAGTAGGTTTCTGTTTACTTATGATTGGTTGTTTTGATATTCTTAGGCGATATTTTTTTCAATTTTGACGATACAATTTGTATCTCGAGATTTTTGCGAAAGTTTTCGTTTCCGATACACCATGTGGTGTTTCTATGGTATTTCCAACTGAGCTGTTTAAAAGTATTTATCTAATATGAATGCTATAAGTCGATTTAAAAGATTAAAAGATTCTAGCGATGACAGCAAACTGCTTGGGACATGAATTTGTATAGCCATACTTTTATCAATTTGTATATTATATTGAACCATAACGTATTTGTGATTCAGGTACAGGTACGGTTGGATTTTTATGATTTGGAATTATTAAGAAATATTTAATCTTGACATAATTTCAATCCGTTAAACCTTGTACATGGGCTGTAGCGTTTCATATCTATTAACTAGATTGTTGATAGCGCTGGCTTAGAACTCATTTTTAACTAGAGCTCTTGTTGTTCTTTCTGGGTGAACATCAAACTCAATACCATTAAAAAAATGGTATTATTACGATACCTTTACTATTTTTAGTTGGTATTTTTGATCATGACTATAAAATTGATTTTAATGTAACTTTCTGCCTTGGTGAAATGTAATTTGCCCAGCTGATGGAGCAGTTTGAAAATAATTTTCTAGTATAAAACAAGAAATACTGAACATTAAGTTATTTGAGCTACATTCGTGAATATATGTGAAGGCTTTGGATAGATTAGTGTTCTGTCCTAAGAAAACCAAAAACACAGATGTTATATAATTAAATGATTATATAAACAAAAGAAGTAAATTAGAAAATAAAAAGACAAATAATTAAAAATTGACAATATTTTAAATAGATGATATATAGATGTAGTCCTTCTATTTATAAACCGAACATTGAATATTTTGTGTTATTCGAAGTACCTTTTTGTTTCTCTGTGTTGTATAATATTGTAATATCTATTACTATTTATAAAACTACTTAAAAACCACAAGTGAACTGAATTTTTTCATATGTGCTCATCACATTAAAGAAAAAATATCCTGCATTCGCAACTGGATGAACCGAGATTAATTACTTCGTTATGTACAGACTGTGCACCACGGACTGATCTCTTTTTATCGTTATTAAATGACAAATTTAATATTAGGTTGTCATTAATGTGTATATCTTTAGCCATAACATATACTCTTTGGATTTATGACGACAAATTCTAATGAAATTTAACTATTATAAGCTAATATTTTTATTGAAAATGATATAGTACCGTTTCATCAAGCAAAGAATCGTCAAATACTCAAAATGTAACAAATAGTGGGACAAATATCGAAATGGAAAAAACGCCAGCATTGTCAGAAACTGCGGAACATATTGCAAATCAGAAGAGTTCAGAACACCCCATACTATTGGACATGGGACTTGAAGACCCTTCTCATGACTACGAAGGTCAAATATTCAAACATCGTGGTTGTTCAGATAAGGTAGGGGTGTTCCGTTTTCTAAAAGTTTTGAAATATGTGTTATTAAAAAATTGGTTGCTTCTTAATCGAATAGGTAAAAGATGGAAAACAGCACAACGAAATTTGTGAAGCAATTGCACTTAATGACAAAAGTAATTTTGAAAATCTTCCAAACAACTCGGGTACATTTAGCGCAAATCGACATACACCAGAATCTAAAGGCTTGGCAATCAATCATGGTGGTGAATATAGCTACCAGAAGGAAACTGATGACTACCATTCGAAAAGCTCCCAAAAACATGATTATTATGCCTGCCAAGTGTGTACGGTACAAGAAGCAAAATATATTTGTACTGGGTGCCGAAAGCAGTGGTATTGCAGTACAATATGTCAAGTAAATATATATTTATACTTATATTATCAGAAAATAACTTTTATATATCTCTTTTAATCGACCAGTTAATTGATTGGGAGCGGCATATCAAACATTGTAATGTTTGATTACGCCAGACATATCATCACATATATATTTCTGGATTGATCTGAAGAAAACTTATAAGCAATTTTTAATTCTAAGTATTTCTATGTGTTTTTATCATTTTATGCAATAATTTATTTGACTAAATATATTTTTCAACTAATTTAGAAAATTTTATTTTGTTTAATTTAGGAAGGCATATGACCAAATTAAGTTAATCACAGTACTCGTTTGATAGCTTGACATAATTACTCTTTCAAATAATTAATATAAGGTTAACAGGGTAAAGAAGTTCAGCATTTACATAAAGCAGAGTTCATAAATTCAGTAACAAAATTTGGAACACCCTACATAAACTGCCTCAAAATCATCAGCCGTACTTGATATTCGAAACTGTAGCTGAGGATTAGTTTTTTGCACTGGTTTACCTAATGAACAGTGGTCCGTAAAATTGGAGATTGACGTAGTCATCCTTTATGCCAGAGACATCCTACTCTGATTATCGCCTTAGTAATAGATATCTCTGATTTAGAGAAAGTTGGCACATATTGTTCTATTAGTAAAGTTGGCTACAAAATTCTGTATTGAAAATTTGAGTACCGTTTGAAGTTCATTCTAACTAAATCAGATTATAACTGTTTCGTTCACCATGGTATTCTTCTTCCTCTTTGCTTGATTAAACGTGAGTTCGTGTCTTAAGCGATTTTACTTAATATTGTCTTTGGCTAAATGGTCAAAGTCAAAATGATGAAAAGATCTCCATTTAATTTTGATAATAATTTATTTAGATGATCTTATAGAAGTATACTTTGAAGCACAGCAAGTCTTTCTGACGGAATATACATTATATTTGATTTGTAAGAATGCAGTTATGAATTAGTGTGCAGTTCCACAGAATCGAATAACTTCAGCGCTCTGTTTTTGATATACTTTTGCACACTCTCGACTCTCAAGTCTTTGGAGCTTTCAGCAAACGTCTCAGCATAGTATTCTGATACGTTTGAAGTTTTCTAATTGTGGATAGAGCAGAATTGACATAACACAGTCATAAAATAGTTTAGGCCTAATTATTTGTTTAAAAAAAAAGGTTTTTTTTTGATACTCAGCGTTTCGAGTGTTAATGGTTTTAAAGCATTCAGCGTTATATTGCAAACCAACTTCTTGATATTCATGTCCTTTAACCAAGTTTATTTTCTGTCAAAAGTTAGACCTAAGTAATTAATATTGTCTTCCCATCCTATGCCCACATTATTGACCTTTATTCTTTTATTACTAACATTCAGAAAAATAAAGTACATATTCTTACAAACAAACAGGTAGATCTCGTGACTATATAATGGATCTATCTAAAATATTGCATGAATATAGAGAATCATGGCGGATTATAAGTTGCAATGCTTCTTCAATGAATCAACCACTTTAATTTCTGTTTTGTGGATTTACTAATTACGATAGACAATTAGCAATTTGACATACATATACATCTAGACCATCAGACATTATTCATAAGAAAAAGTAAATTGTATGTGTAAATGAAGTTGGGCCCTATTAAAATTTGTGTAGATCCTGTAAGGCAGCACTTAAAGAACACACTGCAGATCATCAAAACTCGCACTGTTCATATTATTCCGTTCCAGCTTGGCACGGATTTTTTCAGCTAAATTTTGCACATTATTTTGATATATATATCAAAATAATTAAGTATTTAATATTTTGATACCTATCTGTGACATCAAAAATTTTATATTTGAACCCACTAAAACCACTTATTTGGTTTGAAAAACCCACCAATAGCAGACTGTAAAAGGCTTCAGATTGAAATCGCGTTTCAGTAATTAGATGATGAAAATGGAATGACTTTTTTTTTAAAATTATTTTTAGAATTTAATACGAACCACTAGTCTCAATAAAATAGTCGTAGATGATCAATTAATATAGTGTGTTACTTCTCAAATAAAAATAAATGATATATTTTATTTGCATAGAGTTCACTTACCTCTATTATTTGGTTATTATAAAAAGTTTATTATTGTAAACTTTTAAAATCCGAAACTTTTTGTATAGTTTTTGCACAATTTTTAATTTTTTCAAATTAATTGGACTTCAAAGCCAACCAAAAATAATAATGTATTATTATAATGTATTATTATAAAGTCATTTAATATCTTTGATTGTTAAAAGCAGTGCTTAAATACTAAGTGGATCTCTGGTACAACGAAACCACATTTTTTTCCATAGCCGTTGATACCTTCATTAAATTCTAGAAAAACATAATCTCAATAAATTTATTTATTCACTGTTTATCAATGCAAACGTAATGACAGAAAAATGGACTATAGACACTCACACGTTCCCTTGTGTCCACGTATAATTATACAAACAAAACGCGTTTCCGTTTTTCCAAGAGCTCACATATCTTAAACAATTTTGCGTGTATTAAGGACAACAGCAAGATAAACCCAATGAGAAAGGAGCCCCGTTTCGCTTGTCAAAGCCACTGACACATATTCAGCAGCTCTAACAATGGCACCCATCTTAAAGTGAAAGACTCAAGCTGATGGTCATTACGGAGATAAGCGCACAAAAATATGTTAAGAAAATACTATTTCCCCTATACACGAGCGATTACGTATTGAGAACAGCCGGAGTCCCAGATGCGACAAAGACTGCCTGCCGTTCGTGTGTTTAGAAAAAAATGAAAAGAAAATACGAGGGAAATGTGAAAATCGCATTACGGCCTTTATGCTTACATATATTCTGCGTGTTTCACACACAAACACACGCACAGAGGGTTTATGAAATGCTCTGTACTAGGTTCGTGGCGTGCGTAGAATGCATGGAGCATCTAAGAACTAAGCTCTGCCAACGTTGTTTTTGTTTGTTTTTGGAATCCAAGCCATATCGCCCCTAATTTTTTTTTAGTCTATTTCTATCGTTGCATACGAGTTGACAATGTTAAACGCTTTACTTGACATTGTGTGTTATTAGATCAACACTTGTTAAACATGAAGTGATTTTAGGCGCAACGGAGGAAAATAAACTCAAGCAGCGAATAAAAACTATGATAATGTGTATTTAATCTGGTCGCTGATAAGAAATCAGAACGATTTTCTTGTCTTTTTAAGTATTTAGTGTATATTTGTAACTATAAAAGATAACAGATATACCCTGGTTTCCTTTGAATTCATTCAGTACATAAATACAAAGATGTTTGAAGTTAGTGGTAACTTTCATTTTGATATTTTAAGGCGCTTATAACTCATATCAGCTTAACTTCAATGATTATTAATAATACAATAATTATAATACCAATTCCATTCACAGAAAAATATATTAATAAACAACTTTTTCTTTAAACTTTATTTTCTTAAACAATTTTTATTACTATTTTAAAAGAATTTTTCAAACTTTTCAATATAAAGACACTGCAGACTTTTAGGAGTTTTCACCATAGGAAATTCTGGTCGTGTTTCTGAGAATATTAATATACGAAGATTACAATTGCAACCATGACATGACTATGACCACGACCATGATGGCACAGCAGTACGGTCAAACGGTAAAATTGTAAAAAAATATATGGAAAAACTTCAAGAAGCTGTAAAGAAATTTACAGTTTAGACCAGTGATTTCCAATCTTTTTTTGACCAAGGACCACTTTAATATTTTTGTTTTTGGTAGGGACCACAAAGGTTAATGATTATTTTAATATGTCTTATGCATCTATAGTATAATATATAGTGAATTGTATAAGTGCATAGGTACGTTATAAAATAAGTATATAATTACTTACAAATATTTTATATTGATTTTCTAATAAATGAAGTCTCAATGGACAAACTACGAGGTATGTATCTATATCTATTAAATTAGATTCATGGACCATTTTTAACTATCTAGTGAACCACCGGTTGGAAACCACTGGTTTGGACTAAGCAATGACGTCTAAAACAAGAGTGAAAAAAGGAGGTAAGTGACATCGGTCGATTAAGAAAAAACTTTGCTTTGTTTTTGAAACCCAAGTGGTGATTTATGCTCAAGCATGGAAAAATTATTTTTGACATCAAACAACTGCTAAGCGATTACGATTGTTTCCAACAGTACTTGTATCGTTTTTAACACAAGAATAATCTATTCTTCCCCATCTTCCCATGGAGAATTCCCTTTGTTGATGATGTACAACTACTGTCAATCGTCAAAATTGTAGCAGAACCAATGGAAAAGTTGGAAGAAGCTCCAGAAAAACAATTACTGTTTGAACTTAGCAATGGTTCTTAAAACTCACTATCCGTACACTTCAACAATAAAACAAAATTCGACATTGCCCATTGGACATAGATGGTCTGAATTTACTGTACTCAAGAAGCACAGCAAAATAATTCGCCACGGTGCTAAATACATAATAACGTTGAAACCAATATTTGAAGTACCAGATAATGTACTGGTTTATAGGCCAGCAATCATTTCTACCTCAACATAAACTGCTTATCTAAAAACGAATTATCAGACCCATACGGTACTACAGTGCTGCACGCTGCAAATGCAAACATCATATTAAAAACTATAATAATAACTTATTTATAATATAGATATAGCAAAACAAGATATTGAAGGGACTATAATATACTAGTAGCAGAGGTCTTCGACTCTTGAAATATGTTTATTACTATTTGATAACAGAATGAAAATAATAAAATAATAATAAAACAGAACAGAACGATTTTGAAATAAAATAATATATTTGTAGATATGATAAAACCTGCTTGTTACGTTAGTGATACTGACATAACTAGGAACCTCAGAATTCCTGCAGTCAAAGAAAAAATAACAAAAGTCCTAAAATTTAAAAATAGGTATTTAATATTCATTAAAAGTGACATTAACATATATCATATAAAATGTCAGGACACTGACAGTGACAGTGACAGTGAGCAAATAAAGTCTGTATCATTCATCTTGCATGGTACAATTATATGTAGATGTCAGTGCGTTAAGGTTCTACTAAATAGTATTCTAGTCGAACTAAGTCATGTTAGTGATGTAATATATTACTAACATGATTTATTAATATAGTAAATG